AATAGGTATATTTCTTCAAAAATAAAGCGTTGCAATAAAATATACAAAAAAGTTGTAAGAAAATTACCTTTTTTGGTAAGATCCTCCATACTCTGATCTTTACAATCAACTGCGAGATGATTACTACTGCCACAGTTGTAACACGAAATTTTCGTTGGTGGGACGGCAGCTGGTGCATATGTAACAACTGGAGTAGGTGGCATATATGGCGCTTGTACAGGTGTCGCGGCTGCATTCGGTGGAGGTGGTGGCGTTCCTCCCGAAGATGGATGTCCAGGATATTGGTACATCATTTCACCGTTCGGTTGGTACGTGGTCGGATAAGCTGGCCTTGCATACGGTCCATGCGAGAAGTTAGAATAAATACCACTACTTGGTCTCAAAGCTGAGAAATGACCATGCGGCAGATACGTGACCTGCGAATGCGATGGTGGTGCGGGAAAGGAAACGCATTGCGAAAGATTCGGTGGCCCACCACCATTCACCATTTGATTTTTATGACGCAACACATGTGTCTGGTTCCTTCTAGTACGTTGCCTTTCCGGGCCTGATTGTATAGATTGTTGGGATCCGGGATGTGATACTGCACTTGTAGAATGTACTGGTGCAGAACTAAGGTGATCAGAAACTGGTGGTGCATTGCTTTCATTTCCGCTCACCCATGGTGCTGCTGGAGGAGTTTCTGGCGGAGATCTACTACCAGTACTATCAGAGCTACTGCTCTGTGAACAGTGTCTACTGCTCTCAGGGTCTAACCTCAAGGCTTGTAATTGTGTCAGACAATATACATGTTGAGCATTACACCTAAAATATGAAAATGAGATTGATTGGTTTCTAAGAATATTATTAATTACGTTTTTTTCTACTTACCTCGAATAACGGTTTTGTACCCCAGCAACAGGTAATGTAAGACAGGCATAACATGGTGCATTCTGTGCAGCATACATCGGTGGCGGTGCAGGATACATTTGTATTTGCGCAGGATCTAGTGGTGGCATAGGATATCGCCGTAAATTAGGAGTAGCTGCATGATTATGATGGTGATGCATCGCTGGATGCTGTTCCTGTAATGGCATTGACTTACTGCTTTGATTTCCATCATTCAACATCTCCATTCCAGTTATAACCTAAATTGAATTTTTGTAATATATGTTTATTATTACTGTAATGTTTAAATAAGAATTAAGAATATATTACTATATACGAGTTTAAATCACTAATTACCTCATTTTCAGATGAATCCACAACTGTGTGTGTTGTGGTAGTAGTACTGTCCAATTTTTTGTCAGAAGAAACTTGATTTAAACCATTAGTAGTTTGACTCTTAACTATACTTCGTAGTTGTCCCACTGCATTCTGTGTTAATCCTATTTCCCTTAAATCTTCGTCGCTCATTCTTCGAATCTGTACTCAATTTATTGTAAGTAATATAAGAATTTTCGTAGTATATTACGCACCATTATATTTACTAAGTTACAAAAATGTTCTATGATATGTTTATAAATTAAATATAAGTTTATAACTTGAAAAATAATACTAGATTTTAAAGTAAAATTTATTATAAAATGTTTTATATAAATACAGATTATTCTAGAACACTATCTTACCTCGTCGTGAGAAAAATTCTGCAAATTGCCTTTGAAATTTGGCATTTCCTTTCCTAAAGTTTCTCGTAAGGAATCACCAGAAATTGAAGATCGCAGTCGTGGTGGCGGTGGTTGCTTTGATTGAGGTGCTGTCGGAATTAAGGTAGAAGGAGTATTCTCGATACTATTATGACGTGAAAAAGTGGTAGAACTGCTGATAGACAAGGGAACTGAGCGTGATGGAAGCAATAGAGGTTGACTAGGATGACTTCTGCTCGTACCCAGTGCAGCGAGTGGAGGAAGGGAATTGACATTTGAACTGGAGATGTTTGTCTGACTGTTAGAGGCACTCGTTGACGTTAAAGTATTTGAAGTAGACTGAGTCACTTGCGAAGAGGTGCGTGGCATTGTATTATTTCTGCGACCCATTGGGGAATTGCTGCGACTGGGAGATCGAGACTGGGATGGTGACGATTGACGGCTGACTAAGGGGGAAGGTGGATAAGCCAACATGTCGCCAGTGTGATACATCAGTTGATTCCCCATCATAACCTGACCTGTCCATGGTGGCATATGATTTACTGATGGAAAACCAAGGTGAAGATATTGTGTTGCACCACCTGATCCCATTGGCATTTGTTCTGGAGTTGGCAGACATAATCCAGGTGGGGGCATGGAAAGACCAGGGGGAACTCCAGTTACCATGGTATTATTTCTCATTGCCATTTCTCCTACGAATTATACACAAAAATTATCATTAATATTAACATATACATAGCAAATGTATGCATACACACAACCATGAACTTTAACTTTGAATAATTTGTTAAATGTTACATACATTATGCATATATCATACACTATAAATTACCATGGTAAGTCTGCATCGGAGGGGGAGCCATCATACAATTACCCTGCATCTCTGTGTCCACTAATCTTTCATTTGTATTCATACATGGTGTGCAACCCTGTTATTACAGTAGATATGTAACAATGTAACAAATTGATATCCAAGGTTTTATAAAATATATGCAATTTGCCTAAATTACTTTCTAGATTTAATTTTAAATCTAAATAAACCTTTTTTAAATTAAATATTAAAAATTTTGGTATTAAAAACAAAATACTACACTTAGTATGGAAATACAAAGAAAGTATTTAAAAATCTTTATGTATTATATACATAAACTTATCCAATATAAAAATTTATACATACTTGTGTCTGCTTGTATGATGCATTTGACTTCGAGAGATTCAAGCGAGCTTCTTCTTCCTGAAGCTTTATATAAATGTTACCGAAGACACTTTTTTGCTCATATGTAAATGCTGGATGATTTAAAGCCATTGTATACAATAAGAGCAACTCTTCTAGAGGTTGGTCATCCGGTGTATAGGTGGTCCCATTTAATAGGTTAGAGATCTCTTGGTAGTCAAAATTTGATAGATTCTTATACAAGATTGCTGCACAGGCATAATTACAAGAATGTAATAATGCCATATAGAGAGCAAGTTTCCTTCGTGTGCGTTTATCTGCCACGCCTAAGGTCGTTAACTCAACAAGATCAGAGGCACCATTTGCATGATGTTCCGTATCACGGAGGTCATTATAATCCCGTTTACCAATATCCTCCACACAAGTGCCAAGATATCGTACTTCAAATGGCAGGCACATATTTAATAACGTGCACATGACATCGATGCGTTTATAACTGTGCATATACAAACATATTTTTATGAATAATAGACACAATATGTATATATCTCTTTGTTAAGAATGTTTATATAAGTATAATTCATGCTTCAACAAACAGAAACAAGTATTTGTACTGCTTACATTTAAGATGAGACACTCAAATACACCAATAATAATGAACATTATTGAAATTTCATTTATAAAATGTGTAGACAAAAATTATCAAATATATTGAAACAATAAAGTAGTATGAATTACTTAACATTATTAAAAGTATTAATTACACCTAACCTTATTGAAATAATATCAAAATAACAATTATAGCAAAATTTATGGGTATAATTCCAATTAAAATACATGTACATCATACTTCAAATATATTTAATTTATAAATTTTTAACGACATATTTTGAGGTTGTATTAAAATGCATGTTCAATTACAAATGACTAATTATAAATGACACTAATACTTATACCAATTAGATGATAGATATTATATTTTATAATTTCGAATGAAAAATATATTTTTATAATTATTACTATACATGTTACTTCTATGCAATAAACAAAAAAATTACACTCGATAGAGAAGTAAATTAAATATTAATGAAAATCAACATCGGTGTAACTTCTTAATTATTAATACAATCGCGATAGTTTCTGACACAGAGTTAAGATAAGATTGTGAAATGGTCTTTTTGGTTAGTTCAAAATTTGGTAAAGATGAGGAGGTCATGATGAAAAACGAAACAGTGAGTTAAGAAGAAGAAAATTATAATAATCCGTTTTCGAGCAAGGAGAACATGGTATTAACTAGAAAAGCGACTGATAATATTTCTATTACCTGGACAGATTCCCAAACCATGATACCACGTTCTCCTTACACACCATTGCCAGACAACATTGATACCACTTGGGCTGAAGAAAGCGCCGATGCGGACAGCTTTGGCGCCTCGGGTGTTGCTATCAAGTGACAATCACGACGGGGTCTGGTACAATAACGAACCAGTTCTAAACCGTTTACGAATGTGAAAGACTCGTCAAAATCCAGAGGCAATCAGCCTTAGTGAGCACATCAAACGCACAGCGGCGGCAGCAATAGTACGGCACACCGTGAAATATCCACATTCGCGGCAGCAGGCAGAGGCAGGCGCGACCGAATGATCGGTGAAAACGACAAGCGTCGACGAACAAACCACACGTTCATCAAAAACTTCGCATAAACAAGCGCACGTTCGTTCTGTTAAAAATAAAATTCTTCTTCTGCAATTGTCCCTGCTGCGTATATTAATTCTCACAAGATTTTACGAATCGAAAAGTCGAGTCTCGAGATCCGTTCACATGCTCGTGTTAAAAAAGGCATCGGGCACTTGCTGCTCCGATAAAGCAGCATTTTCATGTACATAGTAATTGTGGCGACTACTGCCGTAATACTCGCCACCTGGTGAGTGGACAAAACTATGACAATTTCCGGAATTTCTATTAGAGAATTATACGATATGCAACCGAAATTAAAAAATAATTATTGTATGTAATAGTGTTATCGAAAATAAAAGCTTCATCAGAGCACGTAATTATTACTTAATTGTAGTTTGCACCCTTATAACTAAAGAATCATACGTACCAACCACCGTATTGGTTATCTTTTTGTTCGTCATGAATTGAAAGATTTTAATGTTTGATGTAACATACAAATATTTCTTTCTGTAAAGTATTCTGTGGCGATTGGTAGGAAATTACTATTTTAGAAATTATAACCAATTATCTTAAAATATCATACAATAAAAACTCATACATAGATATTATATTTGTATTATCATTACATTTAACTGTTAAATACAATTTCATTTTGAATCACTT